GCCTGGGCTGGTGGGACCGCAGACCCGAGGGTCCTCCGGGACAGGCACGGCACCTGCTTTTCTCCCCAGTGGCCACCTCCATGGTGGCCTCAGTGCCAGGAACAGGATCTAGGGCAGAGCAGGGGTCTCCTCACGTAATTTTCCTAAGTGACCACAAACTGGGCCGTTCGAAGTACGGAATCCATTCTCTCCCTATTCTGGAGGCCGGAGTCCAAAGTCAGCTCTCCAGACTGAAATGCAGGGGTCCCAGGGCCAAGCCCCCTGCCAGCCTCGGGGGGGCTCCCTCCTGCCTCCTCCACCCCTCCCCCACGTGCCCGCCCCTTCCCTCCTGTCCCAGGGACACCCGTGTTTGGGCTGAGGCTCACCCTAATTCGGGTGAGTTGTCCCTCCCTGACCCCCACGGAGAACCCTCTTCCAAACAAGGCTGCGTTCACAGGCTCCAGGGCTGGGATGCGGATCTGGACCTGTGGTATTTTGGAGGAACACCATTCAGCCCAGCCCCACAGGAATCAGTAAATGTTTGTTGCATGAGTGGCAATAGCCTATACTGCCTTCATTCCTGCCCTGGACTCTCCCCAGAGGGAGGCCCCTCTCCCCACTCCCTCCAGGAGAACCCCACGCCTCCCACCGCCTTCAGGCCTGCACTCCAAAATGATTTTCTCCGAGACCCGTCTGTTTCAAAGAGCGCTCCAACATTCCCTCCATGACACTGAGCCTGGGGTGCCCTCAAAATGGGGGTGATCGCCTGCACGGGTGAAGGAAGGAAGGAGCCCTCAGGAGTGAGCTGGGGGTTTACAGAGCAGAGAAAGGGCACCAAGCCCAGCTGGGCCGCCCAGGCAGAGCGGGGTGAGGGCAGCGTCCACCCTGGGGGTGCAGCGAGGTCAGACGCTAATTGGCAGAGCTGTAGGAGCTCAGGCAGGGCGGCAGGGGAGGGTCTTGGGGAAAGCCAGCACACGCAGGGGTGTGGGTGGGCTGCACTGCAGTGCGGAGAGGAGGCTGTTGAGGGACGGTGCTGGTATGGCAGGTGGGGGCAGCTGGGGAGGGCATGGCTTGCCCAGAGCTGGGAGGAAAGGGGACCCTGAGTCCAGCACCCAAGGACCCCAGGAGGGGAGCCAGGCAGGGCTCTGTGGACCTTCGGGGGCAGAGCGTGCATGAGGCTGGGGAGAGAAACACCCAGACCTGGTCTCCAGGGTGGGGAGACCTGGGTGGAGGGGGGTCTATTGCAGGCTGTGCCATACTGCTGGGGCCCCCTCCCGGAGCCCCCAGCCTCACCGCTATCAGCCTCAGTCTGCCCGACGATGGGCACGGTGTCCCTATCCAACTGGCTCTTTCCCTCACCCTCGGACGCTGACCCTGCCTCCTCCAGGCAGCCCCCCAGTCACCCCGCTTGGAGTTTTCAGCGCAGCGAGCATGGGCAACATGGCCAGGACCTGAGACGATACCACCCAGGCTCTCAGAGGCCTGGCTTCGAGCCTGTTGTGGCCAGCACCAGGCCAGGAAACAGAAAATACTAGAAATAGAAAGAAAGATGGGGTTCAGGGTGGGAGGCCTTCCTCCCACCCAGAGAGAGCTCTGGGCCTGCCGCTGAATGCTGCCCAGCCCACCACCCCTCTACCCACCACGGTGCCCCTGCAGACCCGGGGCCTGCGCGGCAGGGCGGGAAGCAGTCAGTTCAAGCCTCGAGCCTCACAGAGGCCAGCCTGGGGGGTGCAGGGCTGAGGAACGGAGGGGCTGTCTGCTGTAGCCTCCACCTGAGGAGGCTGAGCGTGTCTGTGTGCACAACCAGGCAGGTGACACGAATCCCCATCTCTAGCCACAGCTAGTTTCCGGAACCTTCCCGGACCTGGTGGGCCCCCGGCACCCACCCCTGTCCCTGGGATTGACAGTGAAGGCGCTTCACTTCTCCTGAAAACCATGTCCCGGAGGCCCTGCTGCCACAGGGCACCCCAGTGTTTGAGGACTTGGTGCCTGAGATTGTCCCAGAGCCGCTGGCCCCAAGCAGGCGGCCGCAGTCACTGCTGAGAGGGTGCAGGCTCTCGGGCTGTCCTCCCTGGCCGCGCGTCCCCTGAGGCAGCAGAGCCCGAAACCCCTGGTGCCCCCATCCCCCCACCTGACCCCACAGGCGCGTGAAAGAGCAGAGGACTCGGAACCAGGTAAATTTGAATGCTTTATTGGGATTGCGAGCGATAAATGTTAAAGACAAAACCCAAGCAATGAATTTTGCCAGAAATATCAGCATGTTAAAGGGGTCGAGTGGAGGCCCGCACGGCCACTGCCAGATGGACCGCGACAGTGGGTGAGGTGACATTCGGTGCGGGGCACGTGGGGGGTCTTCAGGCGATGGTGGGGGGGACCCAAGAGGAGGTCCCGCTGAAGACAGTTGAGGGGGGAGAGAAAATGGACAGCCACAGTCGGGGCTCGGGAAGTCAGATGGGGGCCCGGGTCGGGATGGTTGGGGACCCTGCGGGAGCTGCTTGCTGGGGGACACAGGGGAGCGTCGGCAGACGGCCCTGGAGCGCCCACCCCACGAGAGGCAGAAGGTAACACTGGGTGGGATGGGTGTCCGGCAGGATGGGCAGGAAATTTGGGGTGCCTCCGAGTCTTTTTGGATCTCAGGCCAATCTGTCCGCGTCCCAATTACAATTTGGCTCTTTTCAGCTCTGTCCAATGTTCCGAATGGCCCATTCCCGGGACGCCTGCCGAAGGCCCCTCTGAGCCACTGGTGGGCTGACACGTACCGCCCCCAGGGTCATGCCAGCCCCGCTACTGGGGCCCAGAAGCCTCGGGCCTCTAGAATGCTAGTCAGGCTGTCGTGCAGGGGGGCTGAACTGGGGGCAAAAGCGGGGGTGAGGTAAACCTCCCAGCCGCCTGGATCCCTGCCACAGCCCTAGGCGCCGAGATGGTGGCTGGTTCGGTACCGCCAGACCCGTGGGCCTCGGGGCCCGAGCAACCCCCGTCGACAGACCGCCGTCGCAGCTCTCCCGCTCTGCGGGGCCTGCACCCTCCTGACCTCCCCGACTCCCCAACCTCACCCTGCCTAGACCCCCGGAAGCCCTGCAGAGCTCTGAGCCTCCTGGGGACAAGACAGGGTGCTGAGCAGGCGGGCAAGCTGTCACCGAGGGGCGAGGGGAGGGCCCCCCAAGTGCACGGAAGGCGGCCACCTGCTCCAGCCCGATGGAGCCCAACTCACACACCTGTGGCCCCTTCCCCCCCCAGCCAGCCGGGACCGGCCGGGGGCCCCTTCCTGATGGCCTCCGAGCACCTTCCGGACACCGAGGAGACGCCTCCCCACCCCCTCCTCCGCCCCTCAGGACCTCCGGGGGCCAGCCACTGTCCCCGAAGGCCAGGCTGGGCAGCGGCCCGCTCCTTTCCCTCGGGCTTCTCCGTGGGGCCCAGTGGCCAGCGCCCCACGGAGGCCCCACTCTCGACTCAACCCAAGCGACAGGGACAGATAAAAACAAAACCAAATCGGGACGATAAATGGCGGCGAGCAGGACGTGCGGCTTGGCCGCGGCGGCCGTGGTGGTGGCGGCTTGTGTGGCACTACTTTGTCTCTGCTCCCCTGTTACGTGGGACGGGAGTACGTTTAATTTGGTGTGTGAGCGCGTAAAAAGCTAAGGAGGGATCAAAAAAAAAAAAAAAAGGAAAAAGCCCCAGGAGATACCAATTAAAGGGGGGAATAGATCAATTGGCGTAAATTTGGGTTCCTCATTGGGTCTGTAATTCTGCGCTGTGACTCCTGACTATCGTCCTCCAAACCTCGCGGGACCACTTCCTCCTGCCGAGCATCCCCCCACCCAGCCCCCACTGCCCCCCACCCGCCCCTCCAACCGCCAGACTTCCCACACTCCCCACCATCGTTGCCGACCTCCTGGGGGGCCCTCATTTCTGAGAGCCCCCAGAAGGCCGGCAAGGATGGTCCCTAGGTGTGCTGGGGGTCCCAGATGTTCCTCAAAGGAGCGCACCTAGGGGGTCAGGCTCCGGGGTAGGGCACGTCTTGGTCTCTGCTCGGCTACAGCCGCCTCTAGTCAGGCCAAACCCAGTCCTCGCTCCGCATGATGGTGGGGGCACAGATGCTGGTGGGGCCTGGGGGTACCGGCTCACCCCGCGGGGACCGTGGGAAACGCCACTTCCTGCACCGAAGATGGACCACCCCTCTCCCACCCAAGGAGCGTATCCCAGGAGTCAGGAGGGGAGCACAGGACATGAAAACCTCACCAATGAGCAAGTCAGGGAAAGGTCTGTGACAAGAACACAGACTGCACGGTGCCGGGCTCACCCATCTGCGTGCATGTATGCGTGCGTGAGGGTGTGCGTGTGCATATGTGTGGAAGCGTGTGTGCGCGTGTGAGTGTGTGTGCATCTGTGCGTGAGCGTGTGTGAGGTTGTGTGTGTGCATGCGTGTAGGGGTGTCTGCAGGGGTGCCTGCGGGTGTGGGTGTTTTTTAGGGTGGAAACTGAGATGTCGAATTTGAGGGCATGTAGATTTTGGAGGATGGATTTTAGGGTGTCTGGGGATCTGTGCCAATAAAGTTGATTTTTACAAATTTCGGCGTTCATGTTCTGTTCTCCCCTCCTTCGGTCTCCCCGGGAACCCCCTCTAGCTCCATGGTGACTTTAGGGATGGGAAGCAGAGCGAGGAACGAGTCTGGGCTTTGCTGGTTTGCGGACGCCCAATTCTCCCCACGGCGCGACCAGAGTTCGGCCTGAGGAGACGGGAGCCGGCTGCGGACCCGGACGTGCCCACCTGCAGATCTGGGGTCCCCTCCTTTCTCCTGGAGGGGATGCCTGAGTCACGGCCAATCTGACTCGAGGTCCCTGGGAAGAGAAGGGGGGGGCTAATTCTTTCACGATTGCTTCTAAGCCAATTCAGTTCTAGTATTTTTTTTTTTTTAGCCAATTGATAATTTTAGGGTTTTTTTTTTAAGCTAATTAACGTTCCTGGTGTTTCTAAAAAGCCAATTCGTCTTAAGGGGACTCACCTGTATGTACGAGGGAGGGAGAGTTAGGGGTTCGTAGTGTCGGTTTTTCGGTTACACAATTTGGGGGTAATTTGGGGGTAATTTGGGGGGATGTTTAAAGCCAAATGAGTTTGCACATTTCTAGAGATGTTGCTAGAGTCTCCTCAGCCCAATGGAGAGGGCCAAGGAGAGAAGAGCCTGACGTGGGGAGGTTGGGGCGCGGGGGCCGGGGCTGGGGGAGCCCGCAGAGGGAATGCGATCCCGAGAGGGGTCAGAGGCGGGGCCTGGTGGAACAGCCCCTGGCCAGGAGGAGGGCACCAGGTGGACGGTGCCATCTTGCAGAATTACGCGACATTTTGGCTCACTTCTGATTGCCGGAGGCCTCTGGAGAGGCGCCCCCGTGGGCTGCGGGGTCGTGGGTGGGCAGGGCGATCAGCGGACGATGACGCTTGGCCTCTCTGAACGCCTCGAGCTCCTTGGCAAGCATGCGACCCCGGCGGGCGCGCAGGAGGGCAGGCAGGCCCCTGCGCAGTCGTTGGGCGGACTGCTTCCAGGTGTCATATTGGAAGAACTTGCCCACGGGGTATCTGGGGAAGTTGTCCTGAAGGAGGAAAGGGCCAGTCAGGGGGCGCACAGCTTGTGGGGGGCCCCACGGGGCTCAACGCTCACCCTCCGGTGGGTGTCCACCAGCCGCGCTGCGGGCCCTAGTCCCCCAACGCCGAGGAGACACCCTGCACCCCGAGGCCGGGTCCCCTCTTACCGGAAGCACGGTCGGAGGGGTCGACACGTCCCTCTCGGACTTGGCGGGGGTGGCACAGTAGGTCTCCAGAAGGGCCAGGTCACAACTGCGGAAACAGCATTCTTCCACGATGCCACGGCTGCTGCGGCGGCTCACGCGGCTTGCCGGCCTGCCTGGAAGTCCCACAGGGGGAAGGAGAGCCGCACTTGAGCACCGGCCCACACGGTCCCCACGCCCGGAGCTGGCCTCTGGCCGGTGGCCACCCCGGAGAGGGGGCAGGAGAAGAGGAGAACCAGCCGGCGGGGGTCCCTGCAGCGGCAGCCAGCCTCGTGGAGGAAGGGGGAGACAGCGGGCAGGCGGGGTGCCCAGGAAGGACAGGAGTGGAAGTGGGGGTGCGTGTGCTCCAGGACCAGCCCCTGGCCTCTTGCTGCCTCCCTGCTCGCGTGGAAGGTGGACACAGCCTCCTGGTCCCACTGCCCAGGGAGGTGGGGAAAATGTGCCGGTGTGAGCCCGGCTCGGGGGGCCGCCCACAAGGGGTCCAGCCCCCATGCTGGGGGGCACAGGGTCCCGTCTCGGAGGCCAGGCTGGGGCGCAAGTGCCACCCCCCAACAGAGCAGGAGCCTGGGCGGCCCGCAGCCCTCGAGACGCCGCAGGCTTGGGAGAAGACGAGGAAGACGGGAGGGGAGGAGTGAGGACCTACATGAAACCACGTCCTCCTTTCCTCCCGTCCTCCCCGTCCCTCCGCTGCTCAGGCTCCAAGGTCGGCTGCGAGGAAGAGTCCGAGGGCAGGCGCCCTGGGGAGGAGGTCCCACGGGCGGGGGCTAGGCCCGGCCCTCCCAGCAGGGGACCCACTCCCTGGGCACCAGACCCTCCTGCCCCCAAACAAGGCAGGCGCGAGAAAGGGCACAGCCGAGGCCAGGGCGGGCAAGGAGAGAGCAGGAGACCTTTGCAGAGAGAAGCGTTGAGATCCCCAGGCTGGCATCTGTGGGTAAGTAGAGACTCCAGGGGGGAGGCCCCGTGAGGAGGGCTGGGTCTGACCAACTCACCCCAGTCACACGCCCCGCCCCCACCCCACCTTCAGGGTCGTCCCATTATCTGCATGAGCACTCCCCCGTCCCATCCTATAGATGAGAAACGGAGGCCCAGCTTTCTGGGGGGCGAGGGCAAGGACCCACATCCCTGAGGGAGGGGCCACCTCCAACCGGGGTCCCACAGAGAGATGGGCAAGGAGAAGCAGAGGCGTCAGGGAAAGCCTGCGGGGGGGGGGGGGGGGGTGTTGAAAATCAAGAGAGAAGCAGGAGGAGCAGCCCCAGAGCCCTTGGGCCAGCAGGTGGGCACCACACATGGTAGTCCAGAACTCAGGTCCATGTCCCCTCCCTCAGTGCCACTGTGTGGGCAGGCTCTCCTCTCCTCCCCCTTGTGCCCAGGGGGAGCTGAGCTCCCCCAGCCTGTGGGACATGCCACACATGCTTCTGTGTTCACTGGTCTTCAACCCATTTTATCTAACTTTAAATCAGATAGTCCCACTGTCAAAATGTCAGGCACCATGGAAAGGTCGGGGAGGGGGGACTTCAGTGCTCCCGGCACTGCCCGCAAGCCCTCCTCCCTGCTGGGGCCTGCCCCCTGCCCCACCCCATCCAGCCCACCCTGCCAGGCTCTGCCCCCCACCCCACGCAGGCACCACCCTTTCTGGGAGGAGAGTGTTCTACTTTGAGTCATGCTGCGGGAAAATCAGGGGACGTGAGCGCTACCCAGGCACACAGCAGGTGCCCAATAAATGTGGACGCAGTTGGGCTCATGAAGTCTCAGAGCAAGAGAGCCTGGGGTCAACCCTCAGCAGTGGCTTCCCTCTGCCTGGTCTCCCCCACGCCAGGCATCCTGGAGGGTGTCCATGGGCATCTAGGAAATGCTGTGGAAGACTCCAGCATTTACGGAGCACCTGCTGTATGTGCCCTCCCCCTTGCCCCACCGCACGCTGAGCTACTTACTGAAGTAAAAGCCGCGGTCCCCACAGACAAACTGGAGGGTGTCCACCAGCTCCCCGCCGCACAGGGTCTCACTGGGGCGGTAAGCAGCAAAGCAGCACGAGGCCAAGGCCAAGAAGGTCAGCAGCACCAGCATCGACTTCCCCATCGGGACCCCCATCGGCATCTGGGGGCGGAGAGAAAAGGCCTGAGCCCACCCGCCCTGCCTGCCCTTGCCCCCCGCCCCCCGATGGAGACACCAGCCTAGCCATCTCGTGATTCCCAGGTCCGTTTAGCTCGGTTTAGGTCCTCAACGTGACCGCTTTAATTACAGAAATCACACGTGCTCTCCCTGCCCAAGGCGGGGTGCGCGGCAGCCCCGAGGTCCAGTGCATGTGTGTGAAGCCCATCTCTGATAGGCACCAAGTGCTGGCCAGCAATTTCACGTGGGGGTGATCCTCCCCATGTCACCACGGCAGGGGCTCGGCCACACCCGGAGCTGCAGGGGCCAGTGCTGGACACTGAACCTGGCTTCTGTCCTATGAAGTCATGGGGGCGGGGCCAGCACAAGGCAGTGGCCACTCCTTGGACCTCCCAGCATCAGCCAAGATGGCAGACAGCCCCACCCCCCCACAGAGCATGTGCATCCCAGAGGGCCGCGCCCCCAACAAGCAGCAGGGGGTCCTGCGGGGGTGGGGGGAGTGCAGTCCCACCCCTCCCCCCTCCCCCACCCTCCCAGTCTGTGGCTGAGCAAACCTCAGGTCAAGGATCCCTGGTTACCCTGGGTGCCAACCACATTCCCAGGGGCCTTGTTCTCCTGAATGGCTCAGTCTCCCCTCCAGGCTGCCCTGGACACCCCAAAACAAAGGCTAAAAGCCCCCACTGCAGGGCTGGCATCACACCACCCAGGGCCTCGAGGTCCCTCGGGATCACCAGACCCTCTCCCCACTGGGGTACCAAACCCCACCCTAGGAGCCAGAGGGAACAGGTCAGGCCACCTGGAGGCTGGACACTAGGTCCTCGGGGCCCAATCTGGAAGGACACACCCCCTGCCCCGGGCTGTGCAGCTGCAGGACCCGGGCAAGGGTTAACCAGGTCCTTTCAGGGTTGGGGGCTCAGGAAGGACCTCAGGCTCTCTCAGATACTCAGTGAGCGGCCCCTGCTCCCTCCGGAAAGTGGAAACGCCTCCACCTCCAGGCAGGCGGCCCCAGCCGGCCCTCCACTGGCCCAGGTACAAACCCCTTCTGGGGCGAGAGTCACAGCCCAGAGCCTTTGAGCCCACCAGCACCTGATGCCTGCCCACAGGCGCCCTTCCCAGGCTCCACACCGGTGGGCACAGGGGTCCCGGCAGCATGGCCCTTCCCAGCCGGGTACCTGGCTGTGACATGCTAGGCCCAGGGAACTTCTGATGCCTTAAATCATGCAGGAGAGGAGGGGGATAAGGAGGGAGTGCGATCCCGCTGAAACTCGGGAAGACCAGTGGCCAGATCCCCATTAGGACCTGGAGTGCCAGCCTGCTCACCTCCCCCTGCCCTGGCCTGGCCCCAGCCAGGCTCCCAGGCTGCCCCCACTGCTGCCCCCTTCCAAATTCTAAGAACAATTTGGCCAGCTAACGACTGGGCGCCGGCCGAGCGGCTGCTGCGTCCTTCCGCAAGCCTGGCCACTCCAGTGCGGGGTCGGTCCAGAGCACCCACGGAGAGCCCAGGCCCCACCACCAGAGAGGCAGGAGAGAGGCAGGAGAGGCACGAGGCAGGCAGAGCTATGGGCCAGGTAAGCAAGCCCGGGAGGAGGGACGGTAGGGGTGAGAAGGGTAGAAGCAGGGAGGAGGGGTGGAGGGGCTGAGGCCCAGGGGCCATCAGCAGGCAGGCAGGCCGGAGCCGGAGGGCAGAGGGGTCCTCGGCTCAACAGCCCTGGTTACCTGCAGCTGGACAGGAGGCTTGCTGGGACTGGTGGAGGAGGAGGAGGAGGAGGAGGAGGAAGCTGGAAGGCTGCCTCACAGGAGAAGCCAATGTCCAGTTTGCAGGCTGGTCAGTGCTCCGGCTTTTATGTCTGAGCCGGCTCCTCCCCGCCTGGGCTCCACCCTACCCCCCACCCCTCTCCCTGCTGACCACTCCCCCCGCCCCCTTTGCTCCCGCCCCTCCGTCCTCCCAGCCAGTCCCATCCCTCCTGCACCCCCAACAGCTAGCCCTGGACCATCCCTCTGCGAAGTGCCCTGGGGTGGGGGTGGGGGCTCATCCTGCACCCCCAGCCCATCTAGGCACAAGGCAACGTGGGGGGGGGGCGGGGAGATTAGGGAGGGGGGCTGCTTTACACCTCCTTGTATGGAAAGTTCCATCTGCCCACTGGGCCGGGGCACATACTCTCTGGGGGCTGCACACTCCTGCCCTTCTGAGCTTCCAACCAGCCCCTCTCCCCAGATTCTTGGGTGGAAATGCTGGGGACAGGGAAAGGGGGAGCGCGGGTGGGGGGGGCCAGCTGCAAATGTGGCGCCTCGCATGAGCCTTTCGCCAGCTCGCCCCCTCTTCCATCCTGGCCCCGCCCACCCCGTTTTCCTCCTTCAGTCTTGCTGGCACCGAGTCAACATACCAGGGTGGGTTTCTGAGCCTTGCGCCCCTCCTCATTACCCAACACTCTGGGGGACAGGGCCCTCCCCCACACGGCAACGTACCGCAGCCTCTCCGCAACACCCCCCTGCACCCACAAACCGACCAGGAAGTCGCCTTTGCAGACAGCTCACACCTCCCCTGCACTTCCCGAAGCCCCTACCCACCCACCCCCCCTCCACTTTGGCGGCGCAGGGGAGAGCGCGGGCTGGGCGACGGGGAGCGGGACCCACAGCCCCCCACCCTGGGCCTGCGCCGGCCCCTCTCCCCACCCGGCCGCCCCGCACGCCGCTTACCTGGAAGCCGGCGCAGCTGCCGCCCACCTCCCTGCTGCGTATCGCAAACCGAACAGCGGGCGTTGGCCCTCCTGCCGGACACTCCTCTGCCAGCGCCGCTCTGGCCGGGTCGCGGGGGCCGAATGTGCGACGGGGCAGAACGGGGGGATGGCTTTTTTTGGGGGGGGGGACTCGTCTGATTGTTTGGGGAGGGCGGGCTGTCTGCGGGCTGGGGCGGGCCAGATGTTGTACTTTTAGGGGGGGAAAGGGTATCGGGAAATGAGGTCAGCTGTTGTATCAAGGATAGAGGGGGGCAGAGATAGTGGGAGACACAGAGAGAACGTGAAAGGGGGGGGCCAAAGAGAGGGTGAGAGGGAGAGAGGACAGAGAGAGGCGGGCAGGCTCGCAGCGGGGGAGAACAGCGCACAGAGAAACAGAAAGCGTATAATTAATCCACTTCGGGACGGCTAGGCGAGAGGGCGGGCGTGGAGGGGGAGGGAGCTGGAGGCGAGGAGCTGGGGGGGGCGGGAGGGAGCCAAGGGCAGGCTGCGGGAGAAGAGAGCGCGGGCGCCGGGACCAGAGGCCGGAGAGGGGACGGGGGGAGCACAGAGAAGCGAGGGCAGCGCGCAACGTCGAGGGCCGGGGAAGGTGCTGAGGGGGGCGGAGTGGAGGGCGTCCCGGGCCGCGGGCGCCCAGCTCGGATTGGGCCGACGGAGCCCTCTGCCGTCGCGAGCCCGGGCCCTGGGAGGGGGGTGGCGGTGGCGGTGGCGGCGCCGAGCCGCTCGGGACGCGGCGAGGAGGGGAGCGGAGGGCCGCGCGCCGGGGAGGGCTGGGGACAGCGCGGGGGATGACAACGCCGGCGGCCTGCGAGCCGGACTGCCTGCGGGGGGGACCGCCTCCTCGGGCGAAGCGGGGAGGGCGTTGAGGTAGATGGAAGAGGAGGCGGCGGGGATCCGCAGGCCCGGCGGAGCGCGGCCCCGCCGACGGCGCCCAAGGCGGGAGTCAGCAGCGTGGCGGCGGGCGGCGACGACGCGGGACCGCCGGCCGGGTGGAGGCGCTGGCGGGCCGAGCGCGGGCGGGCGTGGGCCAGGAGGCGGGGGCGGCCGGAAGGGGGGGGCCGGGGGCCGGCCTGGCCTCACGCAGCTCCGCCGGAGAGCAGGCGAACTGCGGGCGCCAACGCCCGGCTCTTATAGCCGCGCTACCCCGCGGCGTGGCGCCCGCTCGGGCCCCGCTGGCCCCGCGCCCGCGCCAATGGGCGCCCTCCGGGCGCTGGCCCCGCCCTCCGGACCGCCCCCGCAGCTCGAGCAGGGAGGGGGGCCAGGGGCGGGGGGGCCCCGGGGGGGGGGGGGGGGGGGGGGGGGGGCTGTGCGGTGCTCGCGGCAAGATTGGGTTGGGGGCGGGGAGCGGCCGAACGCGCAAGAAATCCCGAGTCTCCGTTCTAAAGTGTTGGGCCCCCCCTTTCGGGTTCCCGGGAACCGGGGGTTTCTAGGCTTGCGCGCGCCAGGGGCGCGAAGCGAGAAAGGTGGGCGGTGTCCCGGGCCCTAGCGCCGGCCGGGGACTATGCGGCGGGGGCGCCCGATCGAGAGTGAGGGCGCAGGTGGTTCCGCGCCGGATCTGGGGTCCCCGAGTCCCGCGGGTAGCTGTAGGGGAAGGAGGAATTCCCGGGCGCGGGCAGGGCGCGCAGCCGCCACCTGCCCGAGCAGGCGCGGCGCCTGAAGTCGCGGCAGCCGGAGCCCGAGCGCCCCCCGGTGCCGCGCGGGAGCCGGGGTGTAGCCGCGGTGGCCGCCAGGTGCGGTTCCCGGGGAGGGCCGGCCCGGCCAGGCCCGAGCGGGGGCCAGCCGTGGGGCCTGCCGAGTCTGCGCCTGGCCCGGGAGAGAAGAGCAGGGCGGGAAACAGCGCTCAAATCCTACCTGCGTGACCAAACTCACCGGGGTTCGCGTGAGCAGCTCGCCTTTGGGACCCACCCAAAATATCCGGATAATGATTCCCCCGTCCTCAGTGCGTTGGACTTCCGTAGAGTCGGGTTCAGCCCCGGGGGCTACCACGATAATTTGGGGGTCTGGGGAAACCATCTCCTGGAGAGTTTGGACGACGTAAGAAGTCTTGATTTTTACCAAGTCAAAACCACGCACAAGGCCCGGCGCCCCGCCCGGCCCTCGGCGCCGGGGCCACCCGCGCCTCTCCGAGGGGAAGGGGCCGCCGCCGGCGGAAGCCCGTGCAGGCTCGCCCCCTCTCTCCGCCATCAATCACTGCGCCCGCGCTCGGCGCGCGCCTCCCCAAGTCCCTTGACCCGCGGACTTGGAGGCGCTGCGTCGCCCGAACGGGGTGCGCCTCTCCTCGGCGTCCCTCCGACCCAGCGCCCGGCCCTCCCCGCTTTGGGGCCACCGAGGCGCCTTCCCCACGACTGTGATCTTTGAAAGAGCAAACGAAAGCGACTCAGGTTTCGGGGCGCCAGGTCCCGGAGAGCGCGGCCGCCGAGCCGCAAGCCCTCAGCAGGCTTCCGCGCCCGGTCCTGGTGGCCCCGGCGGCCGCCCGAGGCGGGCGCCAGCCCCGGCGGGACTGTGGTGGGGCGGACCAGGAAGCGGGCTGGGGCCGCGGAGGCGGCGGGGAGCTCACCGCAAAGCTGGAGGCTGGAGGCGGGAAGCTGCGTCCGCGGGCGCGCGAGGAGCCGAGGCAGCGAGCGAGAGCTGTGCGGCGGCGGTGGACGCTGCTGGAGGTGAGCGGGACCCCGGGGGCAGTCCCCAGTGTCCGGGGGCAACGCCCAGTCCGTTGGAAGACCCGGGGACAATGCCCAAATTTGGGGGAAACTGGGGGCAATGCCCAGTCGTTTTCCTGGACGCGGGAGCAGCACTGCCCACGTCCTGGCGGACACGTTGCCGGGCCAAGTGTGCTGGGGAAATAGAGAGAGAAATTTCCCCAATCCGAGGAGTTTGGGGGGCCTTCGCAGGAGAGGAACAGAGGCTGAAATCAGTACCCTCCGCTCGCCCGGTTGGAAAAAGTGCAGAGAACTGCCGGCTGGCCGGGAACAATGCCCAGATATGGGGGACGCAAGTCAGAGCTCAGTCTGGTTTGCGGCTCAAAGCACGAGTGTCCCGACGCAGGAGACCCGAGGGAGGCCCTGTTGGTGTGGGGAACTGTAATCAGTGACTATATTTGAGACTCAGGATCCAGGGTCCAACTTTGGAGGACCAGGGGACATTGCTCAGTGCAAAGGGTGTGGGGGAGGGAACAAGAAATCCAATTCTAAAATAAGGGGGACCCAGCCTCTTGGTCACCAAGCTGAGGGAGAACCCCAGACCAATTTGTGGAAGATAGGTTTGGGGTGACTCGGGAAAATTCTCAGCATAAAAAAAGTGGAGGGGGGACACTCAGAGACACATTATCTGAAATTGGGAGAAGAGAAACACTGAACCCATTCTGGGGATCTAGGCGAAATTCCAGTGTGGTGGAGGGAAGTAAAGACTGACTTCCACAATTTAGAAACACAAAACTAGTGACCTGGAAGCTGTGCGGCCAAGGGAGTAACCTCCTTACTTGTGGCTCTGGGGCCAATTCCCAGTGTCTTTTCGAAACTCAAGAAACACTGTCTAAACTTGGGGGGAACCTGGGGTGTGATCAGCACATTTGGGAAATGCAGAAAAATCCGTGTCTGCTTATACTTTAAATTTTAACTGGTTTCAATTGGTTTGTTTTTGGTGAGCAGGAAAAAATATCCTGTCTGCTCGGTCACTGTCTGCATTCGGGAAATCCTAGCAAAACATGTCCCCAGTTTTGGGGATCCATGGGAATCATCCAATGGAGGCAGATGTCGAAACCTCAGGAACCCAGGGTAATAGTCAGGAAGCTTATAGGGCACAGGCCCATAAGACCTAGGGTTTCTAGGATATTTTTTGATCCCTGGACATTTTCATGTGGGAGGGGTATGCAAAGTTACCTACATTTAAGGGGACTTGGGGAGCAAGGGTCACAAAATCAGGGGGTCCAAAAATCTATGTTCAAAAAAAGTTGTTTTGTGGCGGTGGGGGAAGTCCCAATTTATTTGGAGGACTGGGAGACATGCCTCAATTTGGAGGTCCCAGGAAACTAATTTTTTAATCTGGGGGTCCAGGGAAGTTGTTCAGAGTCCTCGGGAAAATTGGGGGTCAGTCTCTAAGTTTTAGGGGAAAAGGATTAAGAGTTCGTAGGTTGCGAGGCCTGGAGAATCAGGGTCTCTGGTGATCTGCAGGGAGCTTGTAGTGTGTGTGAGACCCAGGAAATGTTGCTTACATTTTGGGTGACTTTGCGGGTGTGCAGAACGGTCTGGAGTCCAAGAGATCAGTGCCTTTCTGTGACCCGAGTGTAGTACTGACCGTGTTTTCGGGCTTGGAGGGCAACGCGTGTACTGGAGAGAGCTCAGCATGTTCAAATAGAAGGGATCAGGAAAAGGGTCCAGTGTCATCCTGGGGTTTGAGATCACTGCCTGAATTTCAGAAAATCCGGATTTTTGTCAGTAAGCCAGTGAGACACAGGGAACGTTTTAATACTCAAAATGTTACGGTAAAGAGAACATGTTCCGAATATCGGGTTACTGGGGACACCCAGCAGAGCCTGGTGTAAGGAGACATACGTAGGCTTTGTGCAAGGGTTTGTTTCCTGCGTGGTGTGACCCAGGAGAATCTGCCCAACCCACGGGGCCACAAGGACGCCCATCTCAATGATTGCCCCGTGTGCTTTCCGGGGCTCGGCGGTGACAGTGTCTAACCTGTCTGGGACCTGACTGGTGGCGGGAAGCTTGGAGAGTCCTGTTAAGGAGAGCGCCCGAATGTTCATGCCCCCCCCGCAACACACAAATATTGCTCAATGAAATCTGGGGTTCAGAAATCATCCTCTCAACTTTGTGGAAGTCAGGAAACCAGAGCTCAGGCCATTGAGGGTTCAGACAGGGGCCTGGTGTGCGCTGGGCGCAATGCCTCAATTTCAGTGAAGGAATAGGAAGCCACGTTCAGACTCTGAGGGTTTTGGGAAAATTGCTTCGTGTGCTGGGGGAACTGGGAGTCTTTGCGTAAAATTTAGGGACCCCTCGGGCTGGTGTCGGTAATTTGTGGAGCCCCGGCAGACAGTGTCCTAAATTGCGGTGGGCCAGGAGAACAGAGCTTCTGAGCCGGGGAGCAGAACAGGGACAAGGAGTCTTGCCTGGGAGACTCTGCAGTTCCTGTTCAAAATTATGGAGGCTCAGGGAAAAAGCCCCACTTGCTTTGGAGAGGGCACCCAAGTGCCAGGAAAACCCTGTCCGCCTTCTGGGGAACCAGGCAGATCGGTCAGCGTGACCACAGGACCCGGGCTTAACGCTGCAGCTGTAGAGGACACCGGGTGGGCGGCGTGCAAGTCTGGGGTACATGGGGCAGTTGAGAGCCTGGGAGAAAATGCCCAATGAGTCTGGGGACCCGGGCCACTGGGGCAACCAGCAGGGGCTTGCGTCTTTCGAGGTCCCCGGAAACGGACGTCCAAGAAAATTCTTGTGGTCTGGGGAAATGCTGGATGTGTCTGGAGGACCTGGGAGCAAGCCTTAGATTCGGAGGATCCCCGGAAAAATACCGCCCGCGTTGGGTGGGAGCAGGGAGGTCGCTCGCCAGGCTGGGACCCCTGGAGGCGGAGGGCTGCGCGGGAGTGGCGGAGCTCCCGGGGCTGGGGACGCGCCGCCGCCGCCGCCGCTCCCCCGCGTCTGGGGTCTTGCGCGCGGAGCAGTGGCGCCCTCCCCGGGGCACTCGGGGCGCGGGCAGGTAGCGCCGGGCTCCCTGGGCGCGCGCCCCGGAAGGAATGTCGCCGCTCTTTCTCTGGCCTTCTGGCCGCCGTGAGCGCGCGTGCGGCGGCAGCTGGGGCCGAGCAGGCGTGGGGAGGGAGGGAGGAACCCGGGAGCCGCGAGGGAGAGACTTGGGCGCGGCGCCCCGGCGCTCCCGGGGCTCCGGGCTCCCTGCTCGGCCGCCTCCGAGGACGGCCCCGCGCTCCCCGCCGCCGCCGCGCCCCACGCGCTCCCGCGCTGCGAGCCTAGGCGAAGCCGCGGCCGGGCGGCCGCCGCGGGCAGGCTCGTCCCCGGCTCGGCTTGGGGGCCGGGGAGCACCCCAGACGGCCACCCCCGCGCGCCCAGACGCTCCGCGAGCGCCCTTCGGGCCTTAACCGGTCCCCCACGCAGGGGCGAAACCGGTTTTGCTTGGGTAACACGAAGGAGGGGAGGGAATGGGGAAGAAGAAGAGAGACATGGGGGAGGACTGGGGGCCGCCCTGCGCGGCGGCCGGGGCGCCCGGGGTCTCCTTTCGTTTTCTCAAAGAGAGTGTGCACGCGAAGCCTCACTCTCCCGCCGCGAAAGCCCAGTTGCTCACAAGCCGGCACTGAAGCCGACGCAGGCGCAAGGCGCTTCTGGGCAGGAACGCGGCCACCGCCTCCGAACGGAGCACTCTTGAGGTGGGGGGCAGCGACCCTGGGGGGGGTCCCTCTGAGGGGTACGGAGCTACCAAGAAGAAGGCATTGCTGGGGTCAGAGGAATGGTGGGGATCCCCGGGCCACTACAGCGGGCATCGCTTGTCCCCACTGTCACCCCACAGCAGGACCCCAGTTACAAGGGGATTGCTCAAAGCCTGACATTCTGGGAAGGCAGGAGTTAATGCCATTGGACAGGTGTGGGGACCCAGTCAGGGCTGAGGCAGCCCTTCACACTATTTTGGCAAGACAGGGAGACCCCCCCCCCATGAAAAACAGCCCATTTTCCACCCAGAGCCCCAGGCACGTGGAGAATGTCCCCCCTTCAAATTCCAGTCCGCATCAATCACCCCGTGTCCCATTCCAAGAACATCTGGCCTGTCTCCCCCCACCCATCACCGCCCCCTCCCCTCTCCACCAGCTTCGTAGCCTCCCTGTGTCCCTGGCTTTCAGGCCTGTGCGGGTGTGCCTGGGGACGGAGGGGGGGTGAGGACAGGGCCTCCAGCAGAGAAGCCCTGAGTGCCCTGAAGCCGCTCCCCACTGCGTGGAGACCTGTGAATTTGGGGGTGAGGAACTGGGTCTCTGGGAGCCCAGAGCAGCTTCCAAAGCCTCCGGAGGG